GGTACCCTTATGTAGACCTACATGATCCATTTTCAATACCAAAAGTCCTGCAGAGTAAAATTTTATCAACCTACGTAATTTCGTTCGGAAGCTAGAGTAATGTCCACAGACGGACGGACATCGCTAAATCGACATAGAATTTTATGCTGGTCAAGAATATATATACTTTGTGGGGTCTAAAATATATATTTCGAGGTGTTACAAATGGAATGACAAACACCACCATAGTATGGAGGGTATAAAAATATTAAATCAGTTTCCACCAGCGACAACATAAAAACGAACAGAAAAATCGTATAGGTTTGAAAACTTCTATTCATCTCAAAACAGCGTTTTATATTCTTTCTTGAAACATTTTTTTCAGTAACTTTAAATTCCCCAGTTCCCATATGCAAATTCTAATATCAGACACTGCATTCGCATTCCCTAAATAAATTTCATAAACATTTGAACCTCTGCGAATCAGTCACACCTGACAAACGAATGTTAATCAGTTTATGGCAATTTGCTTTTTATCACTCAAATATGAAAAATGGATCGGAAATTAATTTTCCGGGTCTTTTGGCCCAATAATGAATTCAGTTAACATAGAACATCATTTTCTAATTAACACAATTTAAAAAAAAAAAAATTTTCATTTTATGTAAATAATTTTCCCTTTCTTCGTCTGCTCTCTTTTTTGTAAAATTCATATCTGTTTGGAAAATATCTAGACAGTGAAAATATTGCTTTTACTTTGTTCTAAGAGGCGATTCGTTGTCATATGGGTCATAATTTGTAAATATTTGTTAATTACATTGCTCATTAGGAGCTATTTGCTTGTAAGGGTTGTTACGAGAGCCATTTATATTGGGTTCTCTCAATTCGATTATAAATCGATTAGTGTACTGTTTATAATTCGTGGTGTAAATGGGAATGTCATTTGAATTCGTATCATTTATATACTAAAAATGATTTTAATGCAACTTAGGAATTTTGCAAAAAGTCAGTCTGGGCCGACTTTACGATACCCTACACCATTTTGCATATATAGTAGTGCCATACATAACAAATAAACTTTTTATGGACGAATTTATGAGAATTAAAACATACCAGCTGAGATCGTTAAAGCTGTTAAAATTTGAAGCCAACGGGAATTAATATATAATAGGCTTATATCGTATTCTACTTAATTTGATGAAGGCAATTGTGTCTGAACCGATATTCATCAAAACCTATTATATTTGAACTGATATTACACTTTTTAGGCACTATAAACGTGAAATTTGATGAAGATATATTTATGGTAGCTACATCCAAATCTGAACTGATCTATATAAAAATATGCAGAGGTATATCTTTGCTGCATATGATTGTTTGTACCGAATTTCGTTGTTGCGGAAAATATTTTACGGGGGTGAGGGATTAAAATACTAAATCGGATGAAACATATACAGGGTGAGATAAAAAAACTTTTAATACACCCTCCACAATATTTTCGCGATAATATTCGGCGTTTATTCCATTAATACGAGCGGACAGCGACCATCGGCTGTAATGGCGGCCCACACCATCACCATGACCGGCGCTTGAGTTTTGGTTGCCAACCGAAGGTGCACATTTTCAGCTAACCTCTTTGGCAATTAAACACGATTATTTGTTTAAAAACTGCTGGACAAAGAATGTTTTCTCATCGGAGAAGACGAAATTCGGCAGTTCACCACTTTCGGCCATGCGAAGCAACTCTTTAGCTTTTTTGGGTCTAGTTTCTTTCCGTTGCGGTGTAAGTTCTTGAACTTTCTGGAATTTCAATGGCTTTACCCCGAGCTCATTTTTTAATATTTGCGAATGGAATATTGCGATATGTTCAGCTCACGAGCCATTTTTCGGCCACTGCGACGCGGGTTTGAATCAAGTCGCTTCTTTACTTTTCGAACCATTTCTGCTGATGTTGCTACGCTACCAGTATCACGGTAATGAGCGATGATACGAAACATAAAAGATTTATTCACATTGAAATGCTGGAGTGCTCTAGCGATAGACATTTGTGGTTTTCCAGCCAATATTTGTGGGGGAGTAACCAAAAAGGTGGCAGATTCATATTCCATATGCACATTAGAGTTGAGAAAAATATTTGGATATACCCACTTTGAATAGAGTTATTGAAAATTGTGATCCTTTTTGGAGGAAATACTAGAAGAGGTAGAACGATGTCTATCATTTTCACGCCACATATTTTGTTAAAGGAAATATTAAGATGTGTAAAATTTGATTAGAATCGGATGCTCATTTTCCATTTTATGAGCGTTTTGTTCAAAGGTTTGACCCCTTTGTGGTGGCAATATCGATCCACTTCTCTCCTTTTTGTGGGCGAGGTACCAGAAGGAGTGGACCGAAATTACCCATTTCTGAACTCGATCCAAGTTTGAAAATAATATTACGATGTACCAAGATCGGGCCAAATCGGATACTTCCTTCGAGAGTCCAAAGATACCTATGGACTAAAAGTCAGGGTATAAAAACCAGGTAAAGTGTAAAGTGATCATAAATCTGACCACAAAGCTAAAGACAAACACTGTGCCACAACCGGACATACTCCTAACTTTAAAAATGTTGACATTTTAACACAAGAGAACAATTTCACGCGAAGATACATATTGGAAATGTTTCATAGAATTAATGTACCCGACATAGAGCACTGTGCGCAAATTTAATGTAGAAAGGCACCTACAAGTCATAATAAGAAAATCTCTGTACAGTGATGTGACACTAAATTGTTTTCAAAATAAAATCAAATTTAATTATTTGTATTTGTTAATTTTTTATTAAATATTAATATGCATGTTATTTGTTTTTTTTTTTTAAATTTGAATCCCTAGTGATTACCGTTGATGCCGATTGAAATATAGGATATAAAATGATGAAACAAAATTAATTGTTTTTATTCTACTGACCTCGAGCTAAATTAAATAAAAAAGAAAATTACAAAATAATAATAAAAATGAAAATGTTGTTCCATTTTTATTCACATATGACATGTACAACGGTAATAATTACGTAATTCGTGTTTGTTTTTTCCTATGAGAGGCGAATTTAATGCGTTTTTGACTTAACATTTCGGTCTACACTTCTAGTAAATTTCCATAAAATGTTGAAGCATTTATTTCTAATTGATTTAATTCATTAGTAAAATAAAACTAAGTTTAATTGAACTAAAAACATATGAATTAATACCGAACAAACACTTCCATTACCAAATAATGAGTTTCCTCACTAATATTTGGCAATCGTAACTATTTTAAAAACAAACGAGATAGGTAACTAGTTATTATTTGGCGATATTAATAACTATTATTAAACTCGCATCCTCATGAACACACACTCTGTGACATTTTACAGTGGTCCCAAAACGAGACAAAAATCGAAAACCTGAATGCAAAAAATTTTAATTTTAGCGCTGCAATATTCTCTTTATCTGTCAAATTTTGTGCATTGAAAGCAGTCCTGGGATTAAAAAAAGAAAACGAGGAAATCCTAAAATTTTATTCCAAAAAATCATCTTTTATAACGGCTAATGAACGACTGAGCGTTCATAATACTTCAGCCAGATTCATCAGATTTTACTCGTCCAAGTTTGTCGAGAAAAATGTTGAATGGAATATATAAGTCAACTCTTTCTAGTTCAAACCAGTAAAGAAAGTCTTAAAGTCGGGCGGGCCGAGCAACGACTGTAATTATAATTTAAAGTTCAAAGGACTAAATATGCCGAATCATTTGTATCTTTTCAATTGGGGCTTGTATTGCCTATTTGGTACACAACTAATTTGAAATCTGATAAAGATATATATGGAAGCTATATCCAAATCTACCCCGATCTCGATAAAATTAGCAAATAGGACGAAGTTATATATGGGAGCTATATCCAAATGTGGCCTGATCTCGATAAAATTCAGCAAAGGTATTTTTGATCTGTATTTGATATATTTCCCCAAATTTTGTTGTTACAGAGTGCATATTACGGCTGCGGAGGAAAAAATAACAAATTGGATGAAAAATATATATACTGGAGCTATAGCAATATCTGAACCGATTTCGATCAAATTGGGCAAATTTATTTTCAGGCCTAATTTGGTCGTATGTGCAAAATTCTATATTATTTGGGCTGATATTAGACGTTTGCTGAAAAAAGGCTAATCGGACGAAGATTTATATGGGAGCTATTTCTACATTTTGACCGATTATCTCAAATTTCAATAGGGTTCGTCCTTGGACCCAACAAATGATTTGTTTACAAAAATACATGGACAGACGGACAGACAGGCGGATGGAGGGACAGGCGGACGGACGGACATACATAAATCTCTGAGTCGATTTATGTATGTCCGTCCGTCCGTGATTCTAAGCAGATCATCAAAAGAATCTATGGGTCTATCTCGCAGGTCCAGAATATATATATACATTATAGAGTCTATCATAATATTTCGATGAGCTACAAGCAGGAGAAAAAGCTAATATACCCTCCATAGATTGGTGAAGGGTATAAAAATGGTAAATAGTTACTTTTGAGGATCCTCATAGAATCACCTTTTTCGTCGGTTTATGTATGTACGTCCGTCCGTCTGCTTGTCAAAGTTTTTTTTTTTTTGTTAACAAAGTACAATTCAAATTTTTTGCCCGACCGAGATGAAATATTGCACAAATCATTTATTTGGCCCAAAGACGAACTCTATTGAAATTAGAGATAATCAGTCAGTATTTAGATTGGCTTACATCCTTATCCAAGGACCTTGTCTACATAAGAGGATCATCGGCTGGCTTTTCCCCAAATGAACCAAGGATTTCATGGGCCGGATTTTTGGTGGGCTGGTGATTTATACCTGAGAAAAATTCTGTTACGGTATTACCCTACTTTACTTGGCCACCTTGTAATTTCACCTTGATTTAAATTGATAATAATTGTGAAATTTTTTGAAATTGATCATAGTAATATTTGAAAAACTTATAATTTTGTGAAAACAATATTTTCTTTAAATTTTTTGAATATTCAAATATCAAATCTTAAATTTTCGAGAACATTTCCCAATTAGAAAGAAAGAAAGAAAGCGATTGCACTAATTATTTATTTCAAGAATGTCCAGGAAATAAGCCGCCAAAAGACCTACATTTCTAGAATTTTCCTGGTACATCTTGCAAATCGGTCGAAATCCTACTTTTGAAAAAGATGTAGTCAACTGTAAAGTATTGGTATAACAAAACTTCATAACGGACGCAATTACATTCAGCTTTTCATTGGAATCCATGAGAAGATAACAATTTGAGGCGGTGCAATGCTGATAAAAATGTCGCCAGCTGCAGAGTACAAGAAATGTAAACAATATGTTTGGTGGCAAATCGTAAATTCTGAAAATCGTAACGCAAAAAAAGAAAACATATTCGTGAGTAAAAAATTATATTCTAATTGATAAAATTTACAAAACAAATTCAAGGAGGCAAACCACAAAAAAGGGGACTTTGGCTGCCTTTTTTGTCGTTTATATATTTTAATTTATATCTTTTCTTCAATATTGCTTCTATTGATTTTATTACACTTAGGACTCGCAAAATATCATACCGAAAACCCGATTGGATCACCGAAAAAGTACAATTCTCTTTGCCACGTCCAATTTTTTCAGTTCTACTTATTAGGCCGATTACTATATCAAACTTTTAGTACCACTGTATAAGCAAAACTGATAACTATAGAATATTTTAGGACACATGTTTTCAAACACCGCGTCTCTCTCCCCCTCTCGCCCTCTCTCTATCTCTCTATCTCTTCGGAACAGCATAGAGTGAATAAAAGTACTACTTCTTAGAAATAGATTGAGCAAATACTAGGGTATCTACCCAAATGTCAGTTTTATTTTTATACCCTCCACCATAGTATGGAGGATATATTAATTTTGGCATTCCGTTTGAAACACCTCGAAAGATACATTCAGCATAAAATTCTATGTCGATTTATCAATGTCTTTCCGTCAGCCCGTCTGTGGAAATCACTCTAGCTTCCGAACGAAATGAAGTAGGTTGATAAAATTTTACTCAAATATGTATTATGTCTGCAGGATTTTTAGTATTGAAAATGAGCCACGTAGGTCCACGTCTTCGTATAGCCCCCATACAACGGTACCTTCCGATATGCGGTATTTTGATGATTTTAGCGACATTATTTATCGGAAATGTTTCAAAATTGGTATTTAAAGCTCGTAACGGATACTACGGCTTAAGTCAGAAAATGGGCCATGTAGGTCCACGTCTTCGTATAGCCCCCATATAACGGTACCTCCCGATATTAGGTATTTTGATGATTTTAGCGACATTATTTGGCGAAATTATTTCAAATTTTGTATTTAAAATTCGTAATGGATACTACAGCCTATGACAGAAAATTGTCTGTGCAGGTCCACATTTTGTAACCCCCATGGTATTCGGTATTTTGATGATTTTAGCTACATTATAAACAGATTTTTTTTTAAATTTCACATTTGAATATTGTAATAGCTTGTGACAAAAGTTGCCTATGCAGCTCCACGTCGTCGTATAGACCATAATATACGGCTACATTCGGTATTTTTAAAATTTTAACAGAATTTTTAACGGATTTTATTTTTTATAATTGTTAAATTTGTACCAAATGGTGGAGAGTATTCAAAGTTAGGTCCGGCCTAACTTACAGCTTTTTTACTTGTTTAATATAAAAATAATATTTCCTTAAAAACATTAGTATTTACCTAAGGATTGGTTATTAAATATTTTGCAGGTAATTCTGTGGAAAGTTTCATGCACTATATTGTATTTGTTTTCGTGGTGTTTAATAACATTTTTATAGTTTTGTATTCTATTTTGTATTGAAAATGGCGTTTTTGTTATTCTCAACATTTTTTCCGATATCACAAAGGAAATAGTCGGCTATCAAAGTAAAAAGTGTTACATTCTTGCAGTTCTTAAAAAGAGCAATTGTCAATGTAGGTCCAGGTTTTGATATATCCCATAGAGCGATACCGAACACTAACGGGCACTCTTTCAACCAATGTCGATAAACTTATGTATGAGGATTTGCCCTTCAAAGGATCAGTCCGAAATATCAAATTACATTTAATTCGGTTGTGAAATGAGGTCAAATCGACCTTAAAAGTTTAGATTGGGAGGTGCCACCAGATATACGGGCTGCACTAAAACTCAAACCTATATTGATACATTTGGTAAGGAGATTGTTTGTCTATCAGCAACCCTAATTACTCATTTATAGATATGTCGCAAAACGTGTAAACAAATAATTCAAATCAGCAGGTGGCTTTATGTGGGGACCACATCAAAATGTAAACTTATATCAATAAATTATGGTAAGAAGTGTTTATGTTTGCCTAGAAACCCAACTTCAAATTATTTGTGGAGAAAACCACCAACCAAACTTAATCTAAAGGTACTCCCTAAAACAAAACAAGTTAAAAAGAAATAAGTTCGGCCGTGCCAAACTTTGAATACCCTCCACCATATGGAACGAATTTGGAAATTTTCAAAAAATAAAATCCTTAAAAAATTCAGTTAAATTTTTAAAAATACCGAATATTGCTTTTATATTAGGGTCTATACGACGTGGACCTACAAATTCGAAACTTGAAAAAAACGGTGAATAATGTAGCTAAAATCATCAAAATATCGTATATAGGGAGGTACCGTTATATCGGAGCTTTGCAAAGACCTGGACCAACATAGACAATTTTATGTCACAGGCTGTAGCATCCATTAGGAACTTCAAATACGACATCTCAAACAATTTCGATGGGTATTGTACCTAAAATCGTCAAAATACCGAATATAGGGAGGTACTGATATATGTGGCCTATACGTAGACGTGGACCTGCATAGACAATTTTCTGTCATAGGCTGTAGTATCCATTGTGAATTTGTTTAATAATGTCGCTAATAATTCCATTTAATAACGTCGCTAAAATAATCAAAATACCGAATATTGGGAGGTAAAGTGATATGGGGGCTAATGTCGCTAAAATCATCAAAATGCCCAATATCGGGAGGTACCGTTATATGGGGGCTTTAGGAGAACATGGACCTACATGGCTTATTTACGAACTTAACCTGCCTACTGGCGAAATAAATATGTGTGCAAAAATTTAGCCTTCTATCTCAATTCGTTCGAAAGATAGCGTGATTACAACAGACAGACAGACGGACAACTCTAAATCGACTTAGAATTTTACGCAGATCAAGAATATATATTCTTTGTTGGGTCTGACATGAGTATTTCGAGAAGTTACAAACGGAATGACAAAGTTAATATACCCTCCATAGTATGGTGGATGGTAATTACTTCTAATGGAAAATGTTTCTAGGGCTTTAAAAATCCCAAATGTCTTGTGCAACTATTGAAGCAAAACTTCAATATTAAAAGGCAAATACTGGAACCAGGCAAATTTTACGTAATGTGAACCCGAAATGTCAAATTGCAATTGATTAGGATGGAATGATGCCGAAAATCGGGAGGTGCCGTAATTTAGGGTCGATATGACCCAATAAAGCTCATTTAAAACACCAATCATCATTACACTCATATATATTATATATCAAGAATTCAACGCTCTATCCAAAATCGTAAGTTTCACATGTTTAGAACTGTATCACAAGATACACTTCAACCCAGACAGTTACATTAGTGTTAAATGAAACACTTAATAAAATACGTCAATATTCACACCTCGGACAACAGAATAGCAGGTGTACTTAATGCACGTTTTGCTCGGAGCACTTTCAGCTATGGCTGGCTAATTATCACGTCTACATGGACTGAATTCTACGTGCGGCCGTCACAGAAGTCACTTGGGATGGGACGTCCGTCCATCCACTCGGTCAAGATCACACCTTTTTGTTCACGTTTGCCGCGCGGAGTTATGGAAATTTTGCAACAACTTGTGAAATTTCTCATCTTTTTCCTTTTTGTTAAAAAGTTCATTCATTTAAACAAAATGGCCTGACCGACCGACAAAAAAAAGGAATCCCAATTCAATTACGCATTTGATTGAAATGGCATTTAATCGACCGAAATATTAATTAAAGTTATTGCGATGTTTAAAAAAAAAATATAAATAGATTTGGCAGAAATTTTCCTCGCACTAGTATTTGCCGTTATGATTAGGATAATAATTGAGTACTAAAAGCGGTATAAACCAGCCGTGAAACTCGTTCGTACCCGCATGATAAATGTTTAACGTTATGTTCACAATGACGCGTTTTAACATGATAATTACTATATAATGGGATGTATATGGTATGATTAAGTTCAAAAGGAATACATGCGGACCAACATGTCGGAGACATGTCACGACTTAGGTGCAGCATAAAATGGCATCGAATAAACCATGGATCGATTGCAATTAAATTTAATTGTAATAGTTCTTGTTTCAGACCGATGTACATTGGCATTGACACGGAATATCACATACAAGGAGCAGCCAACGGCTTGGTAGTGTCCCCGTGCAGTGGTTTTATACCCTACGCCACAGAGTGGTTATAAGTCGATTTATGCATGTCAGTCCGCCTGTCCATCCGTCAGTCCATGCATTTTTGTGAATAAAATGCAGGTCGCATTTATTATCCGATTTTCCAAACAATATTTGTTTGGTCCGAAGAAGAACCCTATTAGTGAGAATCGGTTCAAGTTTAGATATATCTCCCATCTTCAAGCGATCAATATAAACCAAATATCCTAAATTTTGGCACATCCGACCGAAATCAGCCTACAAGCAAGTACATCAAATTTGGCGAAAATCGGCTCAGATACAGCTGTACCTTCCATATATATGTTTCATCCGATTTGGGGTTTAAGTCCCTCACATTCGTAATATGCATTCGACAGCAATGATATTTGGTACCAGTTATCAGATATAGCCCAGAAATACCTCTGCCAAATTTTATCAAGATTTGTTTAGATTTGGATATACGGATATATAATTGTGCACCAAATGGCCAATATCAGTCCAAAAGTCCTGAATTTTGGTGCATCCGACCGAATTCAGTCTAAAAGCAAGTACATTGAATTCGGAGATAATCGGCTCAGATATAACCATAGCTCCCATATATACGTTTCATGGATTTGGTGTTTAAGTCCTTCAAATTCGAGATATGCATTCGACAACAATGACATTTGGTACCAGATATCTTATAAAGCTTGGAAATACTTTTGCCAAATTTTATCGAGAACGGTTAAGATTTGGATATAGCTCCCATATATATTCTTAATCCAATTTCAGGTTTGTTGTGCAAATAATGGCTAATATCAGCCTAAATGAAGTGAATTTCGATTTTGTGCAACTCGGCTCCGCTATATATTTTTTTAATAAAATCCATCTCTATAGCAAACTATAACTGCACTAAAACAAAATGTTGATAGGTGGTAAGATCTGAAATAAATTCTTTTGTCATGCGAGCTCTACTAAATATGCGTAGTGGGGTAGGGTATCATATAGTCGGCCACGCCCAATTTTTGACTTACTGGTTGAATATAATTCTTATCGAAGTCATATCATGCACTATACTGCAATGTTTTTTGGTACAAGAGGTACAAAAGCTTCCGTCAAATTTGTTGAAAATCGATCAAGAGTTAGATAAAGTTCTAAAATTGTGACTTCCCTAAGCCATGATACGCATTCAAATAAGCTTGATTGTTGGTTTTAGTACGGGAGCTCTACTAAATACGCATATTGGTGTAGGGTATCATATAGTCGGCCCACCCGACTTTTGACCTTTCCTTACTGTTTTTTTTTAGATTTTAAGAATTTTTAGGATGCTGCGAAATTTATACCTACGATTTAGCATTCTAAGTTCCTTGGTTCTTGGGCAGATATCTGTTACAACCAAGTTGTCAATATAAATCAAATTTCTATGTTGAATCCATATAACTCTTTCTTCAATTTCAGATATTTTTGAGATATCATGGGTTCTAAATAGTTAAGACAACATATGAAAATGTTTAATATCGATACGTTAACGGCATTCCGATTTATGGCATTCAGTTCAGTACAGAAATATTATAACTCAAAATGCTGATGAGGATGCTTTTTATGGGAGATTACCGAAACCTAATCTTATGTACATTACCCGTATTCAATACTTAATTTCGATATTAATAAATTTATTACCCAAACAAAACAGCATAATAAATTTGGTGGCCCAATCTAATGCCAAAATAGTTTAACCTCCCTCATGGGTACTTATCCGCATATTTAAAGTGTTATTTTTATTTACCAATTACAAAAACAATACTGCACTAGGTGTTGGTTAATCCCATATTTTGCCGAATCGTTTATACCCACATTTAGGGTAAATACCCATTTTAAGTTAATTTACCGGTTATTTACACATTGGGTATCTACCGGCTGTCTACCCTTATACTATTACAAGTGCAATGACCCTTTTAAATGGTTATTGTGTCAGAGAATGAGCAAATCTGCAAGTTGGCTAACGTTTTATATCCAACACCACACTGCAGTACAGTGTATTATATTTCTGTGCATTTGTTTGTAACATACAAAGAGAAACGAGATAGACCTTCATAGAATCCCATTCGGAATCGATTAATACATGTCCGTCTGTCCATATATTTTTGTGAGCACAGTGCAGGTCGCATTTATTGTTCGACTGTAATGAAATTTTGCACAGATCATTTGTTTGGCCCAAGGACGGGTGCTATTGAAATTGTTGATAATCGGTCCACATACAGATATAGCTGTAGCTATAGAAATATAGTCCCCACATTCGTAATATGCTCTCCACCACAATTATATTTGGTACCAGATATCAGGTACAGCTCAGAAATTTCTCCACCAATTTTTTTCGATATCGGTTCAGATTTTTATATAGCTCCCATGTGTAATATTAGTTGGGATGAATTTTCGCAGAGACAAATTTAGCCTAGAATCAAGTGTGTTAAATTTGGTGAAAATCGGTTAAGATATATTAGTTATAGCTCCCATATATATGTTTCTTCCGATTTTATAACTAAGTCACCCAAATCCGTATTATATATATCTTCCATGTGTAATTCCCTCTAATTTGATGTAAATAATACATCAAGGACGCTATATTTCACCAAATAAAGATGTTTCATCCGATTTTGTATTTAAGTATTCTGAAAGTCATAACATGCAGAGAGAGATCACATGTAACATATATTCACCTCAGTCAACTTTAGTGGAAATTGATTAAGATAAAGCCTTAATACGCCATTAATTCCTAAATAGCCAATAAGAACATTTATTTGCTACACGTGACTCTACTAATTGTTCATAGTGGTGTTGAGTACCATAATGTAAGACTTTTACCTTTCCGTACTAGTTTTGCCTTTTGTTTATTATTCGTCTCCACCTTCATTTCTTCATGGTTTACTCCCATGGTTTGTACTAAAGGGCTGCCAAATGAAACATATTTCTCTATTTATGACGCAGAAAAAAATAACGCTCGCCATGTTACGAGCTGTTTGATCAAACGCAGAACAGTACGTAACTTCCAACCAAATGCTCATATCTCGCCCATGTCAGTCAGACTCAAACCCATTGGCGTAACATGCAATGATCAATAAATGGGGGTCTCATACAAACGTATGTTTGGGCAAAAAGTAGCAATAACAATGTAACAACCCAGCGAACCAATCTGTTAATGTTCGGTTCGACTTTGAACCGAAACATTTCCAAAATACTTTATTCAAATTTAGTACCAATAAAATGTTAACACTTAGTCGATTTAAAACAAATAATTCTTGCCTCCACCAACTTTAAACGATCTTTGAACACATAAGTTCGGCATGTCCCAGTAGTCGGTATTTTTTATATTTTAACTCAAATAAATAAAAATTTCTATAACTAAGTAAAAAGAAATGCGCAATAGTTTTGAATACAATATCAGCTATGTTCGTGTAAAATTTCGTTACGAAAAGAATGATGAACATATTATTGAAATGCAAGTTAAGCAGATGTATACCTTCATCCAATGTTCAATTATTTAAATATATTTTGACTTCTGTTATGATTATTCAATGGAGTAAGCTCCGAAGATATGGGCCTATGTTGTCCATTTCGTATCGGACCTTATTAAATATGATATAAATATTGCGACGTGCCAGGTTCGGACTAGAGTTGGATGCTTATTTTGCTTTCTTGAGCGTATTGTTTTTCAAAGTCTTGAACCCTTTTTAGGGGAGGTACCAGAAGAAATGGTCCAATCTCTACCATCTGTATAACATATCTTGTGTTGATAGAAATATTGAGATGTACCAAGTCTGAATGGAATCGGATGTTAATTTCGGATGTTTTGTTTTATGAGCTTCATGGATACTCCAAATTGTGACCCCTTGTGGGGAAGGTACCAGAAGGAGTGGACCGATATATTCTATGATTACATCAGACCTTGGGTTAATAAAAATATTGGGATGTGCGTAATTTGAAGATAATCGGACTCTTACATCACATTTTACAAGAGTTATAATTATTCAAAATGTTTACCCTTTGTGGGGGAGGTACTTGATAGACTGGACCGATATTGTCCCTCTCCGAACTCATTCTAAATTTGATAATAATATTACGATGTTCCAAATTTGACCAATCGGATACTCCCTTTGAGAGTTATCGTACGCGCCAGCCAGTTAGGCGGACGGACATTGCTAAATCGACTCCAAATGTCCTGAAATGGATTTGGTCCAAAACCTAGTGTCTAAAACCGTTATTTCGATGTGGCAAGTTTTGGCTATATCAAATGATATATACCCTCTCTAGACATATGGTACAGGGTATAAAAATAATTTTAATTATGCAAATAGAACAGTTTTTCAGGATACCGTATTATACCGTATTGTTTTTTTTTTCATATCCCAGACAAAAAACAAGGGAACTAATAAGGATTGGTGGCTCTTTCCGTAACCTTGGTATTCCCTTCCTTACCCCCTGGTAAATATTACCATATTTCTCCACTATTAAACAAACATTGTTTTAAAAAAACAAAAAACAACAATAATGGGATTAAGCCTGACTATTTTGCAACAATAAAATTGCAAATCTTACTCAGAATGGTGAAAGATAGAAGAAGCGAAAGTCCTACAACTATCAACTACTGATATACCCTATAAGCACAAACAATTTTCAAAGAGATAAACGCACTCAATTTGTCCATTTTCTTTTTGGTTGTTTACAACAAATTTTACCACAGAAGCGGAAGAGAAAATAAGTAAAAAGCTTTAAATTCGGCCGGGCCGAACTTTTAATACCCTCCACCATTTGAAACGAATTTGGCAATTCTCAAATACAATAAAATCATTTAAAAACTCTGTTAAAATCTTAAAAATATCGAATGTGGCTGTTAATTTAGGGTCTATACGACGACATGGACCTGCAAATGTAACTTTTGTCATAAGCCATCACAATATTCAAAAGCGAATCTTAAAAAATCGTTAAACAATGCAGCTAAAATCATCAAAATACCGAATATCGTGAGGTACCGTTATGTGGAGGCTATACGAAGACGTGGACCTGCACAGACAATTTTCTGTCCCAGGCTGTAGTATCCATTTCGAACTTCAAATACCAAATTTGAAACAATTCCGGTGAATAATGTCGTTAAAATCATCAAAATACCGAATATCGGGAGATACCGTTATGTGAGGGCTATACCAAAAGGTAGACCTACATGGTCTATTTTCAATACAAAAAGTCCTGCAGACATAATATACATTTGAGTAAAATTTTATCAATCTACTTCATTTCGTTTGGAAGCCAGAAATGGTGGAACGGACAAACGGACGGACATCGACATAGAATTTTATGCTTATCAAGAATATATTTACTTTATGAGGTCTAAAATGTATATTTCGAGGTGTTAGAGGTATAAAAACTCTACAACAAGAAAAAAACTCAAATATCCTACGTCGGTCAGACGCATCGGACAAAACTTCAGACTTCGAGCAAATGTGTCTGACGTGTGACAGTTTGTTTATTGGGTAACCTTCGTAGTAACACACATAAACTCTTTTCAAGCACACGTTCACAAATAACACACCATATCGATGACATGGTTCGCTGTCATGGTCAACAGACTGGTTTTTTGGATTAAACGATGCAAGTGGCAATCATGCCATAATCGAACCTTTGGCAGTGATACACATGAATCATGGTTGCCAATGTCGATCAAATACTTAGCACATGATTGTCATTCCGTTTGTAACTGCTCGAAATACTCATGTTAGACCCTACAAAGTATATATAATATAATATATATTCTGGATAAGCGTAAAATTCTAAGTCGAATTAACAATGGCCGTCTTTCCGTCTGTTGTAATCACGCTATCTTTCGAACGAATTAAGATAGAAGACTTAAATTTTGCACACGTGCGCATTTTTTCATGTAAAGTTCGTAGATGGACAATGTTGCTTCATGTTTTCGTGGACCCCCGTATAACGATACCTCCCGATATACGGTATTTTGATGATTTCAGCGACATTAATCACTGGCTTCAAATTTCGTATTTGACGTTCGTAATAAGTACTGCAGCCTATGACAGAGAATTGCCTACACAGGACCATGTCTTCATAGCTGTCATATAACAATTTCGTTTAGGCGGTATTTTCCGAAGAAGAAAACTCTACAATTTCACCCTAATGGGAATTAATCCGATGTCCGTTCTAAGGTGGTACAGCCCTAAATAGGGAGCTTTGAAATTCTCTCACTCACTTCTTTAACTATCTTGGTGACGTCCTTCCAACATCGGTTTATCCTCTGTTGTCAGTTATAGTCATGGCCAAATGTCATCAAAAAACGCATCAAACCAATTTCTAATTTATTCACCAAATCTTTTATTAATTTAAACTTCATTCAAACTTTAATAGAACTTCCACCTCAGCAGTTGGTCGACCAAAAATTATCCAACTTGTCCAAATTGAATATTCGCCGGAAGGTATTGGTAGGGCCTGTAACAATCCGGAATTTATGCGGCACCCTTTAATGAGTATATTGTGCTGAAATATTAAAAATATCAGAAAGTGACGTCATCGCGATATCCATTTCTGGAACTCAACAACCATATTTACATTATAAGGACAGGTGTGATTCAAATTAGAACAAGTTTGCAGCTCGAATATGTTGTAGAATAAGTTTGCCAAGGGCTTTCGCCTATTACTACCAAGAAATTCGCAGAAGTCAATATTGTAATTATAGAGAGCTTTTCTGCCAAGTTCACCACGTTTCTTGAAGCGAAGCAAAAACTAGAATTTAAAAAAAGTTTGGAAACATATTCACAAAAGGAAAAGTTAATCCTCACATCTGCCTCCTTTACAGGTTTCCTGCGCAGCTCAAAATCAACATTGATTTCGACAACATCCCGTTTGACAGCTTTCAGGGAACATATTTTAAAAATGCCCAAACTTTCATTTTTAGATGTGCAGCGTAAATTGGTTAACCTAAAGGCAGCCTTAAACAAATAAAATTTTTAGATTATATTGGAATTCATTCGAAAAGGTCACTTACCATGGCATAGTTAGCTGCGAGTATTCCAAATGCCAAAAATTGCCACAATTTTAGTAGAGTCATTGTTTTCGAGCGTAGCCACCAGCTGAGCTGAGCTAATATGCGCGACTAATGAAGATTTTCATATTTCCTCCCAATTCTGCTGTTCGATAGTTAAATATGATTTTTTGTTAAAAGCAACAATTTATATTATCTGTTTATTACGATCAAATGAAATGTATTTAATATCCCTTAATTCGATTAAAGTTGAGTCACTACATTCTATGCACGGGATTTGGCTTTCAAAATGATATAAATGGCGGAAACGTCATGTACCTGTATAAAACCAATGAATATAAGGAAGTAAAACTCAGTTATGGTTCGAAATCCGTACGTGTTATTAGACAAGAATGGGACATATTTTTATATATTCGCAGCCCATAGTGCGTTGAAGACAATGTCTCAGATAATGCGAACAGGCGCTGATGAGTCACTAAATGGTGTAGCATCTCGAACAGTACCTAAAAAGAAGCGTTCAAAGAAAATTGATATTTTGTAAAATAATTTTCTTTTTTTGGCATATACAGGGTGTGATTAAAAAACAGTAAACAAAAGTCAAACGCCATAATCTTTACATTTTTTTTTTAATTTTATTGAATGAAAGCAAAAAATGTCGGAAATAGCATCAAATTTTAGAATAAGTTTGGATTTTATTCGAATTGGTCACCTTTGGCTCGAATTATGGGCTTTAAATGGCCAATGAAACCGTCACACGCTGCCCAAATGTTGCTCTGCGGCATTTTGGCACATTCCCAGCGAAGCGCTAGCTTGAGGTGATCGACACTTTGGTATTTTTTAGTGCCAGCCTTGCTTTCCAAAATACTCCAGACACAAAGTCCAACGGTTTGGCATCCAGAGATTTTGGTGGTCATTGTGCGCTGGGAAATGAAGCGAGGAACCTAATTTTGTAACCATTCTTGGATGGCGCATGCCGAGTGTGATGATGCTGAGTCCTGTTAGAATGTCCAAGGTCTGCGGCAAAATGTTTGCGTGCCCAAGGTTTTAATACACCCTCCAGAATATTTTCGCGATAACATTCGGCATTTACTCTGATGCCACGGCCGATTAATACGAGCGGAGAGCGACCATCGGCTGTTACGGCGGCCCACACAATCACCATGGCCGGCGCTTGAGTTCTGGTGGCCAACCGAAGGTGCACAATTTCAGCTGACCTCTTTGACAAGTAACCACGATCATTTTGTTTGTTTACAAACTGCTGAACAACGAATGTTTTCTCATCGGAGAAAACCAAATTCGACAGTTCACCACTTTCGGCCAAGCGAAGCAACTCTTTAGCTCTTTTGAGTCTATTTTCTTTCTATAGCGGTGTAAGTGCTTGTACTTTTTGTAATTTCAATGGCTTTACTCGAGCTTATGTTGCTGTTTTCTTCCGTCCACTTCCTTGAAGTTGGGCTACACAGCTAGTATCACGGTAACGAGCGATGGTACCAGACACAAGAGATTTATTCACATTTAAATGCTGGAGTGTTCTAACCATAGCCACTTCTGATTTCCAGCTAAATATAAATAAATCACACTATCACGCTTGAAGCCCATCACGAATAACTTTTTTTCTGGAAAATGCTCTTGCACGCTTGCAAACAATATAATGAGCTGTCACTGGAATAATTTTAACAGCTGCCGGAAATAACAGCTTAGAAATGAAAATGGTTGCAAAACTTCATAAAATTGCTCCTAGGTTTGGTATAAAATAAACTTGAAATCGAAAGATAATATATATGGCCAAACAAATGAACTGTGTATAGTGTTGTCTCAATAGGAAAATAATGTTATTTGTTTTGGTTTTATGTTGATCCCCAAAATAAACTATAGATCTCTTTTTCTTTTAAAGTGTTACAAACAAATGTACAAAGATACAATATCACGATCCACATAGTGGTGTAGGGTATAAAAATAATAATTTTTATTTTTATTTGTGGTAGAGATGAAAAACCATAAAATAAAATGTTTTATTAATTGTCTACAAAAGATTGTTGATATGTTAGTAAAAAATTAGTTCATGAAATCATGTCCAAGTTTCCACTGTAATACACATTTGTTTTGCCTCTAATACCAATTATCGACAAATTAGCAATGTCCCTGCCACCACTCACTTGTTCTAGAACACCGATTCCTCCGTTTTAAAAATGGGAGGCAATTAAATTTCTACGTAGCAATTGGGATACACATGAACTTGTACGCCCATCCCAACATATAGATTATGTGAGAAGAGCATCATCATCATCATCTCTTCGGAAAAAATACGTAGGAACAAAATGTTCATACATCATTTTATGTTGACGTCAAAAGTAAACAGACTGATTGCGCGATGTTCCTGACCATCGAAACGTATCTCCCTCTGTCCGTAGATACAACGCCATATGGGACAACGTTCACGTTCTCAGATGGCAAATCGTCATTGCATTTTCATAAAATAGAAAATATCTACATTTGTCTGCAGCCAACCCACCCATTACCATCCCATTGGCATGATTCCAATACGTCTTGACATGTAAAAGATGCAGGGGACAATGCCAGAGGTGGATGTGTGTGTGAGAATGTAGAAAATAACGTGATGATGATACAGCTGATTCTGATGAAAACAAGTGTTTTCGAAATGAAAATGTCTTTTTTTTAATAGCTTGGCATCAAATTTGAAATGATTTCAGTTCGCTGGTTCGGATGAAGACGGGATGTTTATTTAGAAAAAGTTGATGTGACATTGATTTCAAGAGAATTTCCATTTTCATTTTAAAATTTGGTACTCAAACATGAATGGGCAACATATGTATGTATTAAATAGTATGACTGATAATCCCTCATTCAACTTAACAGCATTACCGTTATATCATATTTATTGAAGACCTTGCAAAGTCATTAGAATTTCGTGTTAATTTGTTTATTGTTCTAGTTTTTCTTTTCCAAAAACAACAAATTTGCACAATTCAAGGCACATCAAGGCTTTTTTGGGCTTTAACGGATTGTTTCAATAGAGAAGTGAAAAATTCTATCATATAATACTTGCAATTTCCACTACTTTATTTTTATAAAAATTATTTTCTTTTCAAAATATGTTTTGACTATCATAAATTTTACATGTCTCTACAGCACGAATTCATAACAACCCAAGAAAATAAATATACAATAAATAGTTTAGAATCTAGTCTTTTGAGGCAGGCCACAAAGAATCAAGAAAGATTGTTGCAGTTTTTCATATTTCAACTATTCAACCGATTTGCATGCACTCATTGAATTTATTATTGGAAGTATTTCTAAATTGTTTTTTAAAACATATACAGTAAAACCTCCCAACAGTGAACAGTGACTGTCGAGGTGTGGAGGTGTCCGTTTGTGGGAGGTTAGATAAAAAATGTTTAAAAAGTTTTTATACCCTCCACCTTGGAGAGGAGGGTATATTAACTTTGTCATTCCGTTTGTAATATCCTTAAATATTCGTCGTAGACCCCATAAAGTATATATATTCATAATCAGCATAAAATTCTAAGTCGATTTAACGATGTCTGTCTGTCTGTCTGTCTATTAAAATCACGATACAGCCCACATTATTTGACGTAGAGCGCCAAAATTAAGCAGAGCAATTTGTATTGTGTCTAGGATGGTTGGTATTGAAAATAAGATATATCAGTCCACGTTCTGGTATAGTCCTCATATAACGGTACCTCCCGATATTCGGTATTTTGATGATTTATGTCACATTTTTTCACGGATTTGTCTGAAAATTGGTATTTGTTGGTCATAATGGGTTCCAGTTCCGGTGGCGAAACATTGTTTGTATAGGTCCACGTTTTGTTAGTCCCCATATAACGGTACCTCCATATTTTCGGTATTTTGATGATTTTAGCGACATTATTAATCGCAATTGTTTAAAATTTGGTATTTGAAGTTCAATAAGACAGAAAATTGTCTGTGCAGGTCCCCGCCTTAGTATAGCCCCCATATAACGGTACCTCCCGATATACGGTATTTTGATGGTTTTAGCTACATTAATCACCAGAATTTCTTTCAAATTTGGTATTTAAAGTTCCTAAAGGTTACTACAGCCTAAGACAGAAAATTATCTGTGTAGGTCTACGTCTTCATATAGCCCACATATAACGGTACCTCCCGATATTCGGTATTTTGATGGTTTTAACTACATTATTCACCGGAATTGTTGCAAATTTGGTATTTAAAGTTCATAATGGATACTATAGTCTATGACAGAAGATAGTCTGCGCAGGTCCACGTATTCGTATAGTCCCCACATAACGGTAGCTTCCTATATTCAGTATTTTAATGATTTTAGCGACATTATTCATCAGGATTGTTTGAAATTTGGTATTTGAAGTTCGTAATGCAGCCTAAGGCAGAAAATTGTCTGCGCGGGTCCACGTCTTCGTATAGACCCCATATAACGGTAAATCCCGTTTTCAAGTTTCGCATTTGAATATTTTAATAGCTTATGACAAAAATTGCCCATGCAGGTTACGTCGTCGTTTAGACCTTAATATGACGGCTACATTTTATATTTTCAAGATTTTAACAGAATTTTTTAACGAATTTAATTTTTGAGAATTGCCAAATTCGTTCCAAATGGTGGAGCGTATTCAAAGTTCGGCCCGGCAGAACTTACAGCTTTTTTACTTGTTAAATATTTCAACGAATGATTCTTTACCCACTTCCAAGAAGCCTTGCAGAAGACATTGTAAAGACGTAAATGTTTAAAGTTTTCCATAATTATACCTTAGTATGTATGTTTCCATTCGTCTGCTTCTTTACGAGAAAAGAAAAGGAAAAGAAACAAGTTTGAGGCCAAACGAGAGAAATAAAACCAAGATTAATGTAAATGCCATGGTGTTTCTTTGGTTTCTTTAACAAAAGTACATTTCTTGGAAAAGTTCCCCAGCTTATCTGGTGCAAAAAGCGTTTGTTACAACAACAATTTTGGGGGAATTCCATGAAAACTTAATGCATTGATGTGCGAGTATGTATGTCTGAATATCCATTTGAATTAAATCTTCATAACTGGTTTTGAGTGCACGCAGTGCGTTTGAATCTGTTGCAAACTATTTAATTATACCCTACAAAGTACTGTATTGGTCGTCTTATAATAATTAAGGCGAATGAATAAAGTTCAATTTGAAATGTAAGGTAGAAAATTGGAAAGAGTTATTAAATATTCTCTAGTTTTAAGATCTTCGAAAAATGAAAAAGTAGATGCATACATCTCGAAAATCATCTGTTCTGTTCTGTCCAAATTTTGAAATAACGTTACAATAATTACGAGTGAAATCCAGCAGAGTTTTTCGAAATAGAGCTAAAATAAAAGATACGTGAATCGGTGTGGTGGACCTACATAAATATTGATTTTTTTTGTAAACAGCGTTTCTACATAATAACAACTCAAAATGCCAAAATAGACAAAACGTAAAAATTCCTGAAATCGAATTTATCCTCACAAGGGCAACGTTCAAAAAATTGGAGGAATATGTACCATTTTCTTTACCACTTACTCCGAATGTTAACCAAACATCTCTATCAAATATAATAGCTCTATCCTAAATGTATGTTTAACACGTAAGGGTTTTATCCCTTTGGATAAAATCAAATCTATATAAGGGGCTTAACAACATTTGGCCTAAGAACACCGAACTCCTTTGGGAGTTTCATCATAAAATGAGTACTACCAAGTCTACTTTTCATTTTCCACAAACCCAGACTGACACAAATTTACAGCGAATTGGAAAAATGCTAAATTTTTAGAAATAAACTAGTTCTCCAAATAAACAATTGATTCCATTTTTATGATAGATATTAAGTATACGAATTTCTTTTGTTCAGAGACTCACAAAGAAATTTTTATTTTAAATAAAGGAATCGCTCGAAGGTTAAAATTTACGACCAAAATATTCCACGTATTTTTATCTGCAATTTTTCCGAAAACACTTTATACCAAAAATGCACAGATTTCGAGGAATTTTAATTTCCAAACCCCTCTTGCCCCCTCTATTTAGGTTACATTGTGGTGTAAACTTTCAATACGCCGATGCACGTGTCTTCTGTTTTTAGGTACCAAAAAACGTGGACCACCATTGTCCATCTCCGAATACGGTCTTAGTTAAACAACTGAGAAAGTTCGGCTGAGCAGTACTTTCAATAACCTCCACCATTTGGAAGAAACTTAAAAAATGTCGTTGAAAAATAGCATTTAAGTGAAATCCGTTATATTGGGGCTATACGAAGACGAGCACCTGCAATTTTTTGTCATGGGTTGTAGTACCCATTCGGACCTTCAAATACGAACTTTAAAACAATTCCGTTGAATAATGTCGCTAATATCATCAAAATATCGAAAAAGGGGATGTACCGTTATGTGTATACGAAGACGTGAATCTGCATAGATAGTTTTGAAGTACGCATTGCGAATTTTAAATACCAATAATTGGAAATAATTCCGGTTAATAATGTCTCTAAAATCATCAAAATTCCGTTATATCGTTATATGGTGGCTATACGAAGACGTGGGTCAGCATACGCAATTGTTTGTCATAGGCTCATTACGAAGTTCAAATACGAAATTCCAGGTCTTTAATGTCTCTAATACCATAAAAAATACCGATTATTGGGAGGTACCGTTATATGGGGGCTACGTGGACCGTCATGGCCCATTTACGAACTTAACCCGCCTACTGGAAAATTAAACATATGTGCAATCTTTAATTCTTCTATCTTAATTCCCTCGACAGATGGCGTGAATCAGTAAATCGACTAAGAATTGTACGTTGATCAAGAAAATATGTACTTTATTGGGTCTGACATGAGTATTTCGAGGAGTTACAAACGGAATGAAAATGTTAGTATACCCTCCATAGTAAAGTGTATGGCATAAGAAATATTTGAGGCAAATCGTACACGCCCTTAGGAAGTTATCGTTATAGCTAGATCGACTCCAAGTACTCATGATTGTTCTACCTATAAAGCGAAACCGAAAAAAAATGTTCCCCCGTTCTTATTGTTATCTAAGAATTTCAACCTCCTCTATTTAGGTTAATTTACGAAGTAAACATTCGAAACGCTGATATTTTTCGCTCTACTTTCCCGTAATTATTGAAAGAAGTAGACCTATGTATATGAGCAGTTTTTTGCCAGGATGTTATCTACAACAGTGTGAATACAAGCTGTGGATTTACAGCAAATTCTGTCGAAAAACATGACTAAAAAAATTGCGTGGTACTAAAACTCCAAAAAGATTAAATTAATTTAAATTTTTAATGGGAGCTATACAATTTTGTTGAAATAAATGTCGCATTTCTTACACCAACAAATCTACGGAAAAATATTTTGTCAACTACCTTATTATGTTCGAAAGATGTAGTGATTTTCACAGAAGTACGTAAATGGCTAGATCGACTTAGAACCTAGTGTAGATGAAGAATATACATATGTAGGGTAAGTGTACAAGAAGTCGGCACTTTTAGGATTTTCGCGTTTTTAATCGCTCACAATTCTGAATGGAACTTTTAAATTATTACAAAGTTAATTTATTCAGATCCGAAATTTTGTATAGTTTTTGCAATAATAAATAAAGTTTTAATAACTTTTTATTAAATTTCATAAATTTGTAGTTTTATTAAAACAATGTTTTTTGCCAGTAGTCGGCACCACTTGCCAATTGTCGGTATGGCATGTTCCAACAGTCGGCATACCAATTTTTTTGCAAGCATAATTAATAATAATAATAAATTAATTCATTATTGTACTTTTTTTAAGAATATGGATTGTTGAGGACCTTCACAGACAAAAATTTAATTTTTATTAGTATAACTCATCTTTTCTTAGCGAAATTGTGCACCGAGATACCTGGCAATATATTTGAAGTAAACTAAATATAGTTATAATAGTTTCATTTATTTGGGCTTAAAAATAAAAAGTGCCGACTACTGGGACATGCCGAACTTAGGCACACTTACCCTATATACATTGTTGGTCTAAGATCCTTATTTCGAGTATGATTCATGGACAGACACAAAAACAAATACCTTTATTTATACGAGACATGGAGTGTGCATAGTGTACATATGGATCGTATTTGCCTAACACAATGGTGAACTCATTGAGCTAAGCTTCCATATCTGATTTAAGATTGATGCCTACATAGCGACCATCTATGTATGTAGACATTAAAAAAAAAAAAACGTTTTAAGTAAAAAAAATGGGATTTCCCAGCATCAATATCACAACATAAAAGAATGGAGTGCATAAAGAATGCCAAGAGAGTAATAATCTACATTTTTAGTTGAGAGTTGCATAACAGGTTAAAGTTTTAAAATAGTTTTCGAATGAGTCATGATGAAAATATCAAATTGAAGTTTCTTCTCAGTTTTGGAAGTTCCCAACCAACAACATGCATACTACCTCAACTTTATTGCTAACTGCATTTCAAGGTAACCACAAGAAAGTTGAAACATTCCAGACTGCCATTTGAAAATTTTCCCAGGGCTTTGATCGTATTTCTTTCTTTCATTTATTCTTAAAAATGCAAATCACTGACCTGCCAACAATTAAGACTCCCCTTTATTTGCTTGTCGCCGATAACGAAACGTGCTCGATCGAGCAAACTGGTTATCACATTTCTCTGGCTGGTAGGGTAGTCTGTCTCCTCAACGTGCTCGATACAAAAGCTATTGGCGTTGAGTACAAAGAGACAAGTGAGTTTGAAATCAAAACGTTTGGCGTTTCTTCAAATGAGAGTAGATAAAATGAGTGTTATTTTTTAAGAGATCTACCTCTTGCATCTCCGGCTCTCTCGACTTGGTGCCCCACATCAAATTATGGGACAAGCCCACAAAACGCAATCATGTGAAATTCCAATAATGAATGAAATGAAATTGTCTGGAGGCAATAAAAACTAATAAAATACCTTTTGATGGGATTTTTTCAAAAATATTTTGTCTGGTTCCAAATAAAATCCCCTAAATTTGACATATTTTTGACAAGACAAATTACAGCCACACATAGTTTTAATGATCTGGGTTTTTCCACAATTTAAAGTAGCTACTGTTTTAAATTTTATTAACACCTAATTTTCCCTTTCATACCGAATTACCATATCGACAGATCGACCGACCTATCATCCAACAACAATTCCGGCAAACCCCAACATCTGTCCCACAAATCAACGCATGCAACTAATTTCCCTTGAGAAGTTTCCGCAAGTATTTATGGGGAATTCTGTTGAACTAACCACCAGAGAGAATCTGAAAATCCCCCAAATGCTACTCTCTGCCTCCTATACTCTCTTGTTGTTGTTAGTGTTTACCTATAGCTAAATGAGAAAAATTGGGGGGCTCCTCTTTGTATTCGTGTCGAAGAGAAACAAGAGGAGAGAGCTTTTCAATGGGTGTGCATGTGAATGTGTTCGACTGTTTGTTGCTGTTTTTTCATGGGTTTCTTGTGAAATTCAATGGAACTGGCGTCTGCTAAGAGAGCTGGCGATATAAAAGCCGGTCCTCTTTGCCAATGGGTATTCATTGTGAAATTACCACTCAAAATTGAAACAACAGCGGCGGATAGCCAAGTAAAATCGTAACGCAAAACGGCAAAGTAAACGTTTAAAGTGAATTACAAAAACAATTTTGCGCGAAAAGAATTTCATAACAATACAAGAGCAAAAAAAAAAAAACAACAAGAAAAAGAACTGAAAGCCATTGAGCAAACAGCAATAGTTGACAAAAGCAAAGCAAATAAAAAAAGTTTATTGAGACCAAAAGCAAACACTCGAACATCCACAACAAGCCCCGTGTTGTCGTCAAGTGTAATCAGAGCAGTAACTGAAAGTAGTTTTGTGAAAATTGATTCATACAAGGAGAAGCATTTAAATTGCAACAACAAAAACAATATGGTCGTGGAAGCTATGCAGATTCAATCCTATCACCAACAACAAAACCCCCAAACCAATTCGATGGATTTAAAAATGGATTACGCGAAAATTGGACGCACCATCAAGAGTGCCCTGATGAAGGCCCAGACTGAGTCTCGTGTCATTGTGGGCCTGAGTGCCGCCATTAAAGTTCTATCTAAGGCCCCTGAAGGTTCACTCTTCTGCCTGATGGCTGTGCCACAAGCCGGCGACTCTGCCACCCACATGCACGAAGTGCTGCTGGAAGCATTTTGCTATGAAAACGACATCTATGTCATCAAGGTGGATTGCCCCATCAAATTGAGCCGCATTTTGGGCAAAACCAATGTCGAGTCCTGCTGCTTGGTCCAGAAAACATGGACCGGCGAACATAATGAAGAACAACTAAACAAACCCGAATCTCTACTGGTTGATTTCTGTGAAGCCAACTGGGATGCTGCTGAGAATCCAGTGGTGGAGCTACCCAATGTGTGAGCCCTTTTGCGGTGTTAATCAGCAGTACGAGGGCATATTTGAACAATTCCCCATATCGTGTGGGAATGTACCTTAAACTACTTGAGATTATGACGACCAAAAAGAAAACCAGAGAGAACGCTGAAAACGTTTGGACTTTAAATAGTTGCTAAGAACAATTCGAAGATTACCCTACACGATGAACGATGTATAATCTTTGTAGCCGAAGCGACAATCCGACGTTTATGGTGTTCATTAACAAACAAATAAATTGTAATGCCAATATTTACAAAAACCAACAACAACAATCTACAATACTGGAGTATATATTATTAAGAACAAAAAAATAGCAGCAGACACAGCCGCCAACATAACGCAAGGTTGATTACATTCTCCAGGAAAACTTATAACAGGCAATTGCTGAATGCAGCTGTAGAGACATTGCAATTGCCGCAAAATTTATTAGACGTACTACAACAACAACCACACAACAAATTCGATATTTCATCATTAGCACGAGTCAAGACAACAAATCTCGTTTTAAGCGATGGACTTTCCAACCCCTACCTCAGCCAAGGGGCAAAGGCAGCAGCAGCAGTTCTAGTCTGTAGGAAAAAATATATAATAATTAATTAATCTTAATTAAATCTAAGCTAAAAGCAAACTTTTTTTTTTGTTATTAAGCCTCTATATTTTATTTACAAAATGGAAAAAAGCTGAAAAATAAGCAAAAACATGTTATTGAAATATTAACGGAAAAAATCGATTTCATTTGTTATTGTTACCTTTTTTTGTTGTTATAAACAAATAGATTTCATTGTATTCCTTGGAAATAATTTTTGTTTAACTAAATACGATTCAAAATTGTAATTGTTATGTTAGCTTTTCGTAGGCATTCCATTCTTGTATTAAGAAAACAAAACAACAACATTTTTATAAATAAAAACAGAAAAAGAAAAAAAAACAACAAAATAAAAACTGTCTTATGATTGAATAAATATTTAGCCAAAGGGCAAGGGGGAATGTGAAAAAATAAAGCAATTAAAATTCCGCTCACACAAAAGGTCGTTCAATCAAGCTGTCTTTCGAATCGTTATTGGTTAGGGTATTCCTCGACGAGCACATGATACATGACAATAACATATAGCAGCGACCTTTAAAACGTAAACATTGAATACCTAGACAGACCGACGGACGGACAAGCGTCGAAAAATCGTAATTAAGAGTAATGAGTACGTTAAGTACGCGCTATAGAGAGAATGTCTTCATTCAATTGCTTGCGGGACCGGGGAAGAGGTTGTTACAAGAGATTTTTGTTTGCATTATTTTTGCTGTAGACTGCTTATATACACACACAGAACAACGCACATACAGAGATACATCAAAGGGGTCAATAGACTTGAATCGTTGAACAGACAATAGAAGGGCCACTTGTGGATGCCTCATGCTACCGCTAGGTTATTACAAGAGGCTATTTACGTTCATTGTCGAGAAGAGACGTAAGCAAGGGAATAGTTGGATGCCTTATTTTTTACCCCAAACTATGAATGAATAGGTATAAGGGAAATACATTTTTAGCTTTAAAAATTATTGTACTTGCAAAATTAAAAAAAATGCATGAATGAATGTACTGTTGCTCTGAAAATATTTGCATATATTTTTAAGCAATAAGTAAAAGAGGCCCTATTTTTTGAATTTAGTACATTATTTTATTCCATTTGGACTACTTTCGGTCCCAGCTTTACTGTCAAAGGTACATCATGCATGTAAAAACGAACTTTTAATACCCCATCATTAGGAAAAGAAAGCCTTTAAAAATAAATGAATCGGGATTAAATATTGTGTCCAATTCCATTTTTGCCAGTGAAAAAAAATTCAAAATATATTTTAACAAATTTGGTATCGCGTGACATTACATAATCCCATCAGATCTCTGGTGGAGAAAGTGTATGAAATTTTAAGAGAATTGAGTGCCTTTTTCGCATTTTATGAGATATATAATTTTTCAGAAGAAGCAGTCCGGTATATTTCATCTACATACCAGATCTTGTATTTGTATTTCAGATTCTATAAGCTCATAATTATTAAAAATGTTGATCCTTTGTGAGAGAGGTACGTAATGGAGTGGGTCGATATTATCAACTTTTGTATTTGATGATTTTTCAATGGTGTTGTCTGAAATTCTACACAAGGAGTTCTTCGTGAGCACTTTACCCCCTGAAAAAGAATTGTCTATATAGGTCCACAATATCGTATATCCCCCATATAACGGCTCATTCCGATATTCGGTATTTTGATGAACGGAACTGTCTGAAATTCTACACAAGGAGTTCTTTGTGAGTACTTTACCCCAGAAATAAAATGTATCGACACCTTCTGATATTCGTTATGTTTAAGATTTTAACAGAATTTTTTCCAAATGGTGGATGGTATTCATCCAAACAAACTGCTTTTTTATTGTTTTTTTTTTTTTTTTTTTTTTTTTTTTTTTGAAAATTCGGATAATATATTTATGATAATTTATATAATATACTAGCTGAACCCGGTGCGCTTCGCTACCCCTTTTGATTTTATATGCATTCAAAATTTTATTTACGAATATATGTTGGTTAAAAAAAACAAATTTAAAAATTAAAAACAATTATTGCACTACTTAAAGCGTACATAACCAAAACCATTAGAAAAGCAGTAACATGACATACATACTCGAAGGGTTTGTCCTTCGGATTTATTTATTTCATAGCAAATACCAAGCGTGCAGTAAACTGTAATCTTTTGAAGTTGAGTGGCATTTCTATTGCAATTAGTGAATTCGAGATAGCAACATACTTCGCCGTAATAAGCGTATTTCAAAATAATTGCTGTGTTGTTTTTTAGTGTTAGCCTAAGGCGTTGTGGGTCAATGGTTCTTATTAAAATCATATCCCAATCTGATCCGATTTAAATATAATTTTAAAAAAATTACATTTACACCAAATTCCGCCACACCTTTCATATTTTATTGAAATTGGTGCGTCAAATATGTGAAATCGGCCGAGAATATATATATGGGAGCTATATCCAAATCTTAACTAATTTCCAATTAATTTGTCACTTTTATTATTGTAACCAAATTCCGCCACACATTCTGAATTTCATTGGTATCGGTCATATATATATCGTGTTTGGTGCATAACATGATGAAATCGGCCGAAATATATATGTTAGCTATACCCAAACCTCAACTGATTTCAATATAATTTGTCAATTTTTTTCTGGTGCCAGATTTTGTCTGTCTCGCCTTGGGTGCATAAAATATGTGAAATCGGCTGAGTATTTATATGGGAGCTATAATCAAATCTGAGCGTATTTGAATATAATTTATCAAATTTATTTTTGTACCAAATTTAGCCACTCATGCCGAATTTCATTGGAATCGGAAATACGTATCGTGTTTTGTGCATCAAATATGTGAAATCGGCGGAAAATATATATGGGAACTATATCCAAATCTGAACCGATTTTGATATAATTTGACTAATTTATTTTCTAATCAAAATCCCGTTACATATTCCAAATTTCTTTGGAAACGAACATACATATCGTGTATGGTGCATAAAATACCTGAAATCGGCCGAAAATATATATGAGAGCTACATCCAAATCTGAACAGATTTTAATATAATTTGACAAATGTATATTTGTTTTAAATTAGAGATACATAGCGTGTTTGGTGCATCAAATACATGAAATCGGTCGAAAATATATATGGGAGCTATATCCAAATCTGAACCGATTTCAATTTAATTTGACAAATTCATTTTGGCTCCCAATTCCGTTACTTGTTTTAAATTTCATTACAATTGGAAATACATATCGTGTTTGGTCCACCAAATACATGAAATCGGCCGAAAATGTATATGGGAGCTATATCCAAATCTGAACCGATTTCAATATAATTTGGGAAATCAATTTTTTAGATAAAATCTACCACACGTTTCAAATTTCATTGAAATTGGGGATACATAGCGTGTTTGGTGCATCAAATGCTTGAAATCGGCCGAAAATATATATGGGAGCTATATCCAAATCTGAGCCGATTTCAATATAATTTGAGAAATTTATTTTCGGATCAAATCCCGTCACACATTCCAAATTTCATTGAAATCGAACATTCATATTGTGTTTGAGGCATCAAATGAACGAAATCGGTCGAAAATATATATGGGAGCTATATCCAAATCTGAACCGATTACAATATAATTTGGCAAACTTATTTTTGTTCCAAATTCCGTTACGTATTCCAAATTTGGAGACTGTATCTTTAATCAATCAATAGATATGTGCATATAAAATCTAAATTTTTGGGAGGTACCTCCGATTCTGATGCTATATCTCCAGTTCCAAGTGGAAATTCAAAAATGTATATAGCCTATGTTACTTTCAGGCGACGTTGCAGTATATATGGAAATTTTTAGGAAAATCTATTCAGCGGTTTTCGAGTCCATAAATTACAAACAAACAAACATACAAACATTTTCCTCTTTTATAGATATAGATAATATGATTATATATTTTTTTCCAAAAAAGATTATATTTCTTTTTGTCTTTTTTTTTTTTTTTTTTTTGATTTCGGAGTACTTCATAACTTTAAATCTTATCTTTGGTTTTTACATTTTACTAAAAGAGACCAGAAAATATTTGTTTCATTTTTACCAAAAATCTAATTTTTTAATGGATTTTTGGAGTGGAATTAACATACAACTTTGTTTTAGGTAGAAAGAGTCAAAAGATGAAGTAATACTTCACATTTCACTATAATTTTCAGAAAAAAACTATATCTAGGTATAATATTTTTTTAAGAAAATTACATTTGAAATTTATATATTAAAAGTGAAAAAGTTATATATTTTTACTTTGTTGGCTGTTGACTACTTTGTACGATTATAATCTCAAAGTCAAAGGATGAAATATTCTACATCAAATTTCATTATGGGGGTCTGAATCATAAAATTTTGAGATAAAAAATAACAAAAAACTTCGAATATCTATGAACATTTTTTTTTAAGAATATTATATTCGAAATTCATATGTTAAAAATAAAAATTATATTTATACGTTTTTCGCTGTCAATTTTATACATTCCTAATCTTAGTTAAAATCACCAATAATATTTAGTTTTTGGAGAAAGTGTCAAATAAAGAAATATTCAAGATCAAATTTCATTATTAGTCTATCCAAAAAGAAATACATTAACTTAAAATGTACCATAAAAATATATCATACATTGTGGAGTGTGGACAGTTTCAAAAGAGTTTTAGAGTAAGGGTATTCGTAGATGAAA